GGTAGTTGTTTTAGGGTTATTTCCAGTATATAACTTGAAGAGTTCGACGTTTTTTCTTATCATGTATAATTTTGTCTTGGATCATTGGTTATTGTAGTGAACGAGAACACAGATGGGAATAATCAAATGTATTTCAAAACAAAATTACAGAATCTTTAATTAAAATTTGAGCATCATACAGTAAATTCTTTATGTCAATCAATCATTTTAGACATCATTGTACCTTCATTTTCACACCAATCATTCTTTGTTCTCGTTTATTTTTTCTTTGATTTTCTTAACCTTTTGCTATCAGACATTTGATGATTCAATTCATGATACATACTGTTTAAATCTGTCGACATCAGTAGCACATACTATATTATCAATTCAATTTATTTTTCATTATGGTAAATGTAAAATAAAATAAAACTAGAATCTCTGTTAATTAGTAAACAATTATTTAAGATGTAATACTGTTTACTTAAAGCGAACTTATCTCCATTTAGTTAAACACAAAAATCATTTGATCTTTTAATCGATTGTTTAAATTGGAATAAATGAATTTAATTGGATACCTATTTCTTATATAATAATATATATTTAGATAGTAAAATAGTCTTATCTTTTTAAGAGAAATAAAATAAATATATATTGGAATTACATAAATGAAAATGAATAATGAACTGAAACTTCATTAGGAATTTATTATCGGTAATGAAAATTGTAATATTTGTTGTGTTCAAATAATATTTCAATTGTTCATTTATAAAAACCCCCTTCTAATATTAATCAACATATGCTCATTAGTGACTGGATTCGAAAGGTATTTCTTGGAGTTCTAGTGAGAAGCTGTGACCAGTGGAGTTCATCTGAGTCTGTTGTGAGATATTAACTCATTGAAGACAGTGGTGGATATTTCGCTCAATTTCGTGGATTAGTTAAAGTTAGACATTAACACTGTTGGATGCTGACCGGCTCAGTGGTCTAGTTGTTAAGCATTCGCGCGTGAGACTAATAGGTCCTGTGTTCGCATCTCACGAGGTGGGATCGTGGATGCACACTACTAAGGAGTCCCACAGTAGGACGAAACAGACGCCCAGTGCTTCGACGTATTCTATAGTGGTCTAGCTTCAATTGATTCATGATCTCAACTATTGAAATTACCATAAAAATAGTTTGTTATTTGTATTTATGAATGTTACTATACTTGTTATGATAATCATTTTATATAAGGACCCTATACACCTGTACAATTAACAGTGATGTATGGAGTTTCATAATCTAACATCATAAAAATAATATGGTTAATGTATCAGTAAGTTAATTATAAAAAAACTAAATAGAACTGTACTGGTCCGAAAACCAGCGAAAGAAGGTATAAACCAATTAATTTTGTAAAGTCTCTTCAATATTTTACATGACTGTCTTAGCGCCGATCAATTATGTGATCTGGTTGTTATGAAATGAGTGAAGAAAAATGATTAGTAACTGTAGATTTATTTTGACTATAAGAATAGATTGGAAATTGTATCTTGCTTAAATTAAGTTTATGGCTACTTATTATATTGATTTTACTCAGTGGTACTCACTACTGACTAATCGATAATTCATTGTATAGAATCAATATATAAGTATCATATTAATGATTTATCACAACCAATCAAAATAACAGATTTACTGAATCAAACGCTTCATCCGTTTTATAACAGTTTTATATTATATTATTAAATGATTTTTCCAATATTTATGTATATTTATAAAGGCGCTGTTAATAGACTGACTTTATGGATAAATATCTTGGATGAAAAGGAAGAGATGATTGATTGTTTTAAAGACTGTTGCAAATCAATAAACTTCATGATTACGGTAAGCGAATCGTTATAATGTGAAACGGTTATATACAATGAATAATTGGTTTTGATAACATCTGATAAGCGTAATTTATGAATATACTATGTCAGTTTTAGGATATAGTTGACTACATTTTGGAATACTTCTGAATTGTAATAGTCACCTAAGTACGGAAATATTTTAGTTTATTACACTAACATGTATGAAACACAATTGTTTTCAATGTATACTACTTAGAGAGTAATTTATAACAATATTTGTGTGTGGCACCCCTTTTTTTCGATTAACTTCAATCAAATATGCATTTCTATTAAAATCCTATAAAATTTTCCTTTAGTCACCACATTAAAATGTAACTTATCGAGAAATGAATCACATATATCTGGAGATCCATCTTATGTTGAATAATTTAGAATTTGGCAGACTCAAAGAATTTGTATTTATCATGAATGTCTTTATTATACCTAACCGCTTCTGCTGTTGAATTTATCATCAACAGCTGTGGTTTGGCTTCTCATCCATGACACATCTGTTACTGAAAGCCTATCACTCACTTTCAATGGTAATCATGTTTCTGGATATTTTGCAATAATGCGTCATAAACACAGGTATATCTTCAAAATAGATTGTTTTTTAACAGTAGAATAACGCTAATTGTCTTCTAGGTATATTTTAATTAATGTTTTATGACCAAATATCATTACTTAAAAAATGTCAAAAAGGCCGAAAGGCCAACTTTCATTCAATATTAAAAAAAAGTAATTTCCATTTGTTTTGTCAATATCGTTGTGCAAAATAAGCTTTCGGTTATAATAGATTTTTAAATAATAAGCCTTGTATTTGAGCACAAAGGTGTCTGAACAAGTACCTAAATCGATACAAGAACAGACGAACTTTAATTGTCGAATAGCATCACAGGATAGACAAATATCTTTCTCTATTGAGAAATAATTTGTTGAGATCGGTAATAAGGTTAATATCAAGTTAACCTTTGTAGTTCCGTAGAGAAGTTTGCAAGGGCGTATACTACGGTTTATTGAAATCCGAGTCGTACGAATACTGAAACCCACTGTATGTGTTTAAAAACAATCTGTTCTTACTTCTTACTTACTCTGGTAATACAGATTTATTATCCATAGTGGTTTCCAGTTTGTGTATTTTATTATTTCTGTTTCTTTTTACGTTTTAATTTATCTGGTTGAGTTTTTTTCATATATGATGTTCGTTCTCAGACAAATATCACATGTCTATCTAACCAGAAGTTCTGTCCATTCTTTCTGTGCTTTTATTTCATCGGATAAGAAAATTGATTAATTAGTTACTTACTGTGGTATAATCTGTGAACGAATTTTTCGACTTTCGTGTTATAGTATCAGAAGGGGTTTTGTGAAGATTGTAGTAATTTGAATAATCGAGATCATGAGTCAATTGTAGCTTAACCACTATGGAAAACCTGGAATCACTGGACAACCATTGCGTCCTTTTTTGGGACTCCTCAGCAGTACGTATCCACGACCCCGCCTCGCGGGATTTGAACCAAGGATCCATCAGTCTCGCGCGCGAGTGCATAACCACTAGACCACTGAGCTTTTTTGTTTTTCATTGCTGGTCTAGCTTCAATTGACTTATGATCTCAACTATTGGAACTTCCTGTTTTACTTAAAACGTTCATACCTTTTCAAGCAAGTTATTAGCTGTGTGAATTCATAAGTTCAGAAGATAGTATGTTGTGCGTTTAAAGTACAATAGTATAAAGCTCGAGTATCAGTGTGAAAATTAACACTTTGATCCAGATATACCTATCTGATGAGTTACTAATAAGACGCAACATTCGTCCATGATTCCTGTGCTAATCAGATAAATATGTTACAACAACGGAAATATATATATATATATATATATATATATATATATATACTCATAATTTCTATCTTAATTTACTTTATGACAAATCCATCATGTTCTGTCCTATAGTTTTATTTTCTAATTTCATTCGAATTATGTCAACGTTACGAGTATAAACTACTTACTATGTAGTTGAGTTTAATAAAGGTAACAAAATACATTGAAAACATATTACCCTTTTATAATCTTATAGTTTATTTTTTGTTTTATTAAGTATTGTAAATTTGAAAATATTTTTAAAGTATTCCCAAGATTTGATCACAAATTTTGTATTGTTATATTTTACCGTCCATGGTAAATTCTACACAGATTCTTTTTTAAATATAGAAAACATTTACAGTTATACCTTTTAATTGTAAAATTATATATTTTTATGATAATCCATCTACAATATGAAGCTCTTGGAATAAGTTCCTTCATGTAATGAAATAATTTATGCAGTTATTATATGAAATAAAGTTTAATTTATAGAGAATTTCATCCAATCAGCTCGATAATCATTAAAACCAAGGGAGTATCAGAATAAATTGTGATCATCCTATTTTTGTAGATCACAATCTGAATATCATGAGTTTTGATTCTTAATAGAAATGTGTTCTCGACTTTTTTGAAATCTCTATTCAAAATGATGTAATTGTCAAGGATTTCTTAATTTTTAGAAGCTTTCTAGATTGATGACAATCTGTGATAAAATATTATGTCAGAAACTTAGCTATTCATTACAAATTTTCAACCAAATTCATTAATCAGTTTGCTAGTTTTCAAATGATAAATCGCTAACTCTGAAAATGAAACGTAATGAGTCGGTGGATTTTAAAGATCATTCATGCTATTTATTCAGTGAATTTTGATTAAACTGTAAATTTCATTATTTAAAACAATTAGTCCCTTCGGTAAATTTCGATAATACTTAGGTTTATTGAAGCATTGGTTATATGGAAACTGAAATCTTTTATCCATTCAAAAACAATTTGTCCTTACCCTTAACTCTACCCTGATAGTACTGATTTATTATCCAGAATGATTATCACATTATTTTTGTGTACCTTATTATTTTTGTTCTTTGTTACAACTTATCTTCAACCTGTTTAATTAACCTTTATTAATTTTTATTTAATAATGTTCTTAACAAATATATGTGTAATTAGATTGTTCAAAATGTATTGCACAAATATATTACATAATTCTGATAAACGTCGTCTTCTCATTGCATCATCGAAATTTCATTGATATTATTTTTAAATAATTTTCTTTTCTATATAGAATTTAAACGAATACAATTTATATAACATGGAAATTAATATTATTCATTGAATGTTCATTACTCTCATCAACGTTTGTCAGAAAATATAATAATAATAATAAATCAAAAAACGAGAATTAACTATGGAAAAAGCTTTTGCTATTTCATGGCCATTTGATTGTTTTGGATTAGTGTAAGTTGAAATTTTTTCTTTTAGAATTTGGAAAGTTTTATGATCTTAATGTCAAAATGTCAAAAATTATGTGAATCAGTATGTACAGTATGTATAGTATGCCAATAAGAGACTGATCAATTGCAGTTCTAAACATTAATGGGAACATTCGAACAATTAATATCAAGTGAATTATGTTAATTAAAATTTACATTCTAATTTTGATCGCATTTTTCGTTTAAAAGTAAAAGTTAAAATGTTTTTGCAATATGATTATTATTAAGAATCAAACATTAAGGAAATACATAATGAGTAAACATTGATAGGCAATATAGTGAGTAGAGCCCAGTTGGTAAAATAAGATTATTAATTTGGAAGAGAGTTGAAATAAAACTCAATGATTTAATAAACGCATGAAGGAGTTTGAAGAAAAAGAAAGGAAATTTAAGATGCGGCAAAGATATATTTGTCACCAAGGCAAGGAATATACCTTTGCTACATTTTAAATTTTTTTTCTTTTGCTTCAAACTCTTTCCTGAGCTTAATACATCATTGACTTTTATTTCAACTCTCTTCCAAATTATTAATTTTATTTTATCAACTGAGTTCTATTCCCTATATTCCTATAAATGTTTACTCATTATGTAATCACTTATTTTTAGCCATTTTAACTGTTGTCACAGTCAATGTTGTAGAATGTTCTTTCACATAAGGTATATTAGAAGAATAGTTATTAGAACATTGAACAATTCAATATGTTTTTGTATTAAACAAAACGTAAATAAGTTATTTAAGACTGAAATTTTTATTGTTTACAGTCACATTTAGAATGATTGATTAATAGGTAATCGGATTGTAATTGAACATGAATTAGAATGGATTATTCACAAACATAGTTCATCAGACTACAAGTTCATATCAATTTCTAATGTTCACTGATGATTTATGTTCATTATCCTGGTAAGAATTCTATGAATGAGCGGATTATAATAATATAAGTAACGTGAATAGACAATTAATGTCTCATAATAAACGGTATATACCCACTGAGACATAAAACAACAAAGATTATTTCAACCAAGAGTTCTCTTTTCGGTGAATTCATTTTCAAAGTTGTACAATAGTAATTATATATATATATATATATATATATATATATATATATATATATATATTAGTTTCCAATCAATTTTGAGAGATATGTCTTTAATCATTGTTCAGTATCCTTAACACACGTACAACTAGAAGCCTTATCTTTGGGGAAAAAATTCTGTGGCACAAATGAAAAAATTAGCAAAATTTACACATATGTTTAATTTGAAAATTTAATTAAACAAACAAAGGGTCTTAGTCCAGTCTCTGACCAAGCATTTCAACGTTGTAAATCTACTCTTCTTGACAGCTTCAACCAGCATATTAGCACAAGAGGAACTAAAGAGCATAGAAATCAACTAGAACCACCTAGAAACAATTAAGATTTGATTATAACACGGCCACATAATGGTGCAAGTTTAGTGCTGTTAAACTGGAAGATTTGGGTGAAGTTTTATTAATTGAGATGAATGGTTTGGTCTTAGGGCTTTTACAGTTCTTCAGCACAAACGTCAAGTAGAAGTTAAATGTTCAAATTTCTCCACACATAACTTACAGCTTGACCTGTTGACCTCGACCTCGAAAAAATGACAAAATGATTATCGGATGACAACAAATTCTCTGAATCAGTTAGTGAGAAGGACTAAAGTGAAGTGATAGGAAAGCAACTTAATGAAGTTTTCAAGAGAATGGAAAATGATCAGGTAATTAAAAAAGATATCTACGAGCTCATGAGACCGACAGGTGCAATTATGCCACGACTATATGGTTTGCCTAAAATACACGAACCTTTCTGACCAATGCTTGATATGTCTGGATCCCCTTACTCTATAGACCTTCTACCCTCAACCGGTTGATTTCTGTTTCTATGATCTTACTGTTTATATTCCATCTTGGTTTCAATATTTTATCTTACCACGTTGAGCCATCCTATCCGAATTATAATTCCTCTATTTATCTTCATGATGAATATTTAACCCCTTAACAACGTCAAATCGACACCTAAATACAGTGAAGCTATTCGGTCAAATTTAGACGAATATTCTTATAAAACTATTGTTAATTTCCCTGATAAAAAATAATATTTTTCAATACCTTTGTTTATTCTACCTCACTGTTACCATGTTTAACAGAATTTTATCACTATTTTTGTGATTACTATAATCCTGGAAAATATGTTTATATCCTTGCGTTTGTGAAGCTTTGAAAATGAATTCTTACAAAAGAGAACTCATTGCTGAACCAATCTTAATTAATTCCATTATATTATAACTACCCTCGGAATCCCATATATTTCTGAGCCACGGGATACCAGAAGACAAAATCTCTGTCTGTGATTGAATAAGGATAATACTTTGAAAAATGTTATTCATTAGGGGAATCTCAACTACAATGTGAAAATAATCAAATATTCTATTCTTATTGGCTCGATAACAGAACGAATAGTTCATGAAAGTAAAATCATGAATCCTAATTTAGATTGAGGAACTTTCTATTTCATATAGAAGTGACCTAGAATATTGATCTTAATCTCAGGCGCTCCCTATCATATTCATGGTAAATAATTTAGTTTATTTATAGGAGACATTTTTTATGTGCATAGCTTTATCCATTAGTAAAGTGACATACTATGCTTTGCGGAGTTTTTAATATTCATTATCGATATGCACAGTAATAACAATATAGTTTTGTGAATTTAATTATAAGTGAATTCAATTATACGGGATACTAAAAGGAACATAAATTATTAATAAGTCTATTTTTATTCTATCATAATGAGTAGAAAAATTGTATTTTTTTAGAGTACTCTGAAGAACTGGCTTACATGAAGTCACGAAACTTCAGAAATACAATTTTTCTACTCGTTGAGATAAAACAAAATATATATGTATTATTAACTATCTACCCCATGCTCAATTTATTTGAAACTATGAAGTTCATCCTTGGGATGGCTACCCATAATCTCATTATTGAACATGAAGTATGTTTTTTTCAATGAGAAATGAGTTAATTTTCTGATTGTTTACTCATATGAATTCAAATTCATCAATATAACGGAGTGTGACGTGTTCCCTGGTTTATCTAACAATTCTGTAGTCGATATTGGAATCATCTAATACTGTTATAGTATTGATGCATGTTAGTCATCGCTCAATAACTTTTAATTTTAATGTGGACTATCCACACTGTATATTATTGTAACGTGGTAGGTATCTTCTGCATAGTACTGATTATTTTATAATGATAAACAAACTTCTATTTAATACCAGATTCATTTTACATTTTGTCACTTAGGTAAATTTGTTTGTTAATCAAAAAAACCATTCTAAATATTCGATAACTGTACTGTTTTTTGGATATTTCTGTCAAATTAATTCAAATAATTCAAGAGATCTGTTCATGCATGAATTTAAATTGAAAAATCATTGAAAATAAGATTGATTCAATATTCTTTATTATTTATATTAAACTTTGAATGAACCGAAAACATCCTTCATTTCTTTATTAGTATTGAGACTCTGAAATTTATGTTAATTAATTCTGTTATATAAAGCAATGTCAAGTGAATCATTAGACCTTAGATTTTTGAAAGTAAAAACAAATTTACTTCAATATAAAGTCAATGTCTTGGAAAAATTCCATGTAACAATATTCCTTTGATTTTTCTTTTAATAAGTAAAATATAGAAATTATCGATAAAATGGCGTAAATTTAATGACAGATACAAAAATGAAATAAGCTGATGAAGTCAATGAGGTAACATTACTTAAATACCTACTTATCTTTTGAAAATAACATAATTTCCGGAAATTTCACATTTTATTTTACGAAATGTAAAATAGGTGCACTTAACTCAATTATCATAGAAAGGAAACAAAAATACTCAGTCAATAACAATAATCATTAGCATTACTGTAGATTTATTTTATAAAATAATTATAGTGGTTTCATAATGCTTTTATACTTCAACAACTGATTCACCAATTCTAAAGTAGTGAGATTATAACACGAAATGTGACGAACAGATGATTTCTTGAATTTGTATGACATATAACTTTCCCCAGCCATTATTACAATTAGTAAGCATAGTACAAATCCTAGTTTAATGTAGTATAATTTTTATAATATTGTTTCTATATCAATAAATGACTTACTTGTTGTTAACTTTCAATGATTGTACTTTGTTAGTCTCTATCCTTTTTATCCCAAATTTTCATTATGATCTCTAAATGTTTCGAAGATCCATGAGTGTCAGGTCGCCTTAAATAGTGCGACAAGCTCAACAGAATTATCTTATCAGTTTACTGATTGTGAAAGATAGTCATAGAGTACATTCATTCTTATGTAAACTGTTTTTGCACTCTCAAAACTATCCATTATTTTTGTTAGAATGAATATATAGCGAAATGTTTTTTCCCACTTCTCGGGATAATTAATTTTAGGGTATTATACATAGATAGTGCGTTTAAAATGTACAACGAATATTTGGATTTCCATTATTTTTAATTTGTTTACACAAAAAATATTTGTAATATATTTTGATGCTACTAGAAACGAGTTTAAGTAGTTATAATCTAAAATATTGAATTTAATGAATGCAACCGAAACTACATTCATAGATAACTAGAAATGAAATGAAATAGTCGGTTAAAACTCATTCATCTGGAACGAGTAGATTTATTTCTAGTTGACAATATTTATGAAGTCGATAGACGTTTAAGGTCAAGTAAGTTCAAAATCTTTATTCTTTACATTTATACCTGTCAATGAATATCATTTCTTTATATGTAACTATATGATCAATAAGCATAGATAAACATGTTTCTAAGTTCACTAGTATTTTCTTATATGCGACATGAATAAAAAAATACAAGTTTGGTTGATTATATAAAGTGAAATATTCGACTAACCTTACTGTGGATATTCTC